GACGCCGCTCTGGCAAGGGCAAGGGGGGCAAGGGCGCGGGTGGAGCTAGCGGGGGTGGTGGAGGTGGCAGTGGAGGCGGCGGAGGGAGTGGGGGTGGCGGTGGGAGTGGTGGCGGGGGTGGAGGTGGCGGTGGCAGCAGCGGAGGCGGAGGCGGCGGTGGCGGTAGCGGTGGGAGCGGAGGCGGCGGTGGTGGCGGAGGTGGAGGCGGCGGTGGTGGAGGAGGTGGAGCTGGTCGGGGTGGTGCTTCGCAGCGGAGCGACTCCGGGGGTGGTCAGCGCCAGCAGCAGCAGCAGCAGTAGCGTTCTCGGGACATCCCCCCTCCTGAGCAGCTTCGTGAGTGGTACACGCAGCGTCAGCATGGTGGGGGTTTTGGCCCGTGCACCTACGTCCTTCGCTCCGGCGACCGCGCGGGTGAGCAGTGTGGGGGTGCTCACCCGACCCAGCGCTGCTTTGGCCGCCTGACGGACGCTTGGCGTCAGCAGTTCCCGGAGGCTAGTGAGATCCCCCGCTGGGGAGAGCTGTGTAGGGCAGGCGTAGCTATCTTTGATCTTGACTTTGATGCTATCCTTGCTGCCATGTATGCTGTGACTATTAGTGATGAGGGTGACTGTTACCGGTGTTTCCCGCCCGACCCGGGCATTGGTACTGCTGCTCTAGGTGCTGGTGAGGCTGCTGCTCTAGGTGCCAGTGCGTCCGCGCCCTCAGGTGCTGGTGAGTCTGCGCTCTCAGGTACCACGTCGGCTTCGGCCTCCCTCACCTTTACACTTGCTTCAGGGGCTTCTCGCTCCTTCTTTCGAGACCGCACCACACTCACGCCGCTTGGTCGGCCAGTTGCAGTCTCCCTGGCAGACCCCTCTAGGGGTCCTGTCCTCTCTCACTTCTCCACTGTCCTCCCGTGTCTGGCTGCCCCCTCTGGCACCTTGTCTGGTCTTTACCTCCCCTCGTTCTCTACGAACTTGGTGAGTTGTGCTGACCTGCAGGATACGGGGGTTCATTAGTTCACTCCTGCGAGTCAGCGGGCGACCCACTGCACGGACGCTCGGACAGGCCGACACCTGGCCACGTTTACACGTCGGCCGGGGTCGTGCCTGTACACACTGACCACTGCGTCTCCTCCGGTCACTTCGTCTGGTCAGGTAGCTGCGTTGGCTTAGGTGTTTGCTGCAGCGTCCAGGTCTAGTCCTGAGTCTGCCCCCTGCTCGTGTCGCCTCCTGTTTCACGAGACTCTCTTCTGGCACCACCGTCTTGGTCACCCCTCCCTGCCCCGTCTCCGAGGCATGGCTTCCCGTGTGCTTGTCCCTGGTCTTCCCGGGTCCCTCCCTCCCCTTCCTCTGGGGCCTGGTCCTTCCTGTGTCCCCTGTGTCGAGGGGCGGCTCCGGGCTGCCCCTCACTCCTCTCAGTTTCCCCCGACAGAGGCCCCGCTACAGACGCTTCACATGGACGTGTGGGGCCCAGCCCGCGTCCGTGGACAGGGTCACGAGCGCTACTTCCTGCTGGTGGTTGACGACTACTCGCGTTACACTTCAGTCTTCCCCTTGCGCAGCAAGGGTGATGCCGCTGAGGTGTTGATCGACTGGATCCGCGCAGCTCGTCTTCAGCTCAGGAGGAGCTTCGGCTCGGACTTTCCTGTTCTGCGTCTGCACTCTGACCGAGGCGGAGAGTTCTCCTCTGGCCTTCTGCGAGCCTACTGTCATGCGCGAGGCATCCGCCAGACCTTTACGCTACCGGACTCTCCACAGCAAAATGGGATTGCTGAGCGCCGCATTGGCATGGTCATGGACGTCGCTCGTACGTCCATGATGCATGCGGCTGCCCCCCATTTTCTGTGGCCGTTTGCGGTTCGGTACGCGGCGCATCAGATCAACCTTCACCCCAGGGTCTCCAGACCGGAGACCTCCCCAGCCTTGCTGTGGACGGGGAAGGTCGGCGATGCGTCTGCGTTCCGTGTCTGGGGATCTCGGGCGTTTGTCCGCGACTTGTCTACGGACAAGCTGTCCCCTCGTGCTGCTCCCTGTGTCTTCCTTGGCTTCCCCCCTGACGCCCCTGGGTGGCAGTTCTACCACCCCACCTCTCGTCGTGTTCTGTCCTCCCAGGACGTCACGTTCGACGAGTCAGTCCCCTACTACCGCCTCTTCCCCTACCGCACTCCTTCCCTCCCCCCGCCACCGCACTTCCTTGTGCCAGGTCCCCCCCCGGTAGACCCCCTCCCCCCTCAGGGTCCTGCCCCTTCAGGTGTGTCCCTGGTAGAAGCAGTCGAGCCGGTTGAGGTTGCTGGTGACTCTGGTACTGCTGCGGGTGCTGAGCCTGGGGGTGCTGACTCTGGGGGTGCTGCGCGCTTGGGTGCTGAGCCTGGGGTTCTGAGTCTGGGGGTGCTGCGACTGGGGGTGCTGAGCCTGGGGGTGCTACGACTGGGGGTGCTGAGCCTGGGGGTCCTGCGACTGGGGGTGCTGAGCCCGGGGGTGCTACGACTGGGGGTGCTGAGCCTGGGGGTGCTGCGCCTGGAGCTACTGAGCCTGGTGGTGCGGAGCCAGCGGCCGCTGGTCCTGCCCGTGTGGCGTCTGGCAGTACTGGGCCTAGAGTTTTTCCGGGTGCTTCGTCTCGGCGGGAGCCGCTCTCTCCACAGGAGCTGCGCGAGTGGTTTGCCCGGCGCTGGAGGCGTACTGCTGGAGCTGGTGCTTCTTCGGCTGCTGAGGGTGCTGGTGCAGCCGGTCTCGGAGGTGCTAGCCGTGGGAGTGCTGGAGCTGCTGGGCCTGCGAGTGCGACTGGAGTCGGAGCTGCTGCGGGTGTTGGCGCTGAGGCTACTGCTGTCAGTCCTAGCGGCTGACCTGCTGCGGGTGCTGCTGGTGCTGCTGGAGGTAGTGGAGGTGCTGTTGGCGCTGGTGCTGCCACTGGGGGTGCTGGTGCTGTCCCTGCTGTGTCCGGAGTCGCCGCACGGCCTCGGCCGTACTTTGTTCCGCTCTTTCAGCAGGTTCTTGGTCTTCCTCCTCCCTTAGAGTGTCCACCGCCTGTCGAGTCACAGTCACAGTTACCGCCGGCCTCCCCACTGCCCGCTCCTTCTCCCTAAACTGGTCCCACTGGAGGTCTTGCTGAGCGTCGTGAGCCTGCGTCTCGTCTCGCATCGCCTGTTCGTGCTGCTTGCACTGGTGGTCGCGGTTTGCGTCAGCGTCCTCCTCCTGTCCCTAGCACGCACCGGATGTCTCTGCGTCTGTCCACTGCTCCTCTGCGTATCCCTTTGCCTTCTCCTCCTGAGTCCTCTCTTCCTGCTCTTGCCGACCCAGAGTCGGACTCTCTTCGTGCTGCCAGTCCTACCGTCACGCGTCTCCTTGCTACTATCGTCACTGACCCCTCTTTTGAGTCCACTGCTGCGTCTGCTCTTGTTGCTGAGCTCGTCGACTTTGCTGCTCGCTGTCGTCTAGACTACGCTGCTAGTCTTGTTGCTGAGTCTGCGTCTGTCTGTCCTCCGTCCGTCGGGGGTGAGTGTGCTCTTGGCACGGACGTCCTTGAGGACAGGCAGGAGGAGTTCCAGTGTCTGGCTGCTGCTTCACCGCAGTGGTCGTCACAGGGTTACACCTTCAGCCTTGGTTCCGGCTCTGTTTCGTGGCGGGCTACTCGCTCGTCTTCTGTTCTCGGCTCCAGTTGTGAGGCTGAGATCTACGCTGGGGCCATGGCTACACAGGAGCTTCGCTGGCTCACCTACCTGCTGACTGACCTAGGAGAGCCGCCTTGTTCTCCTCCAGTGCTGTACGTAGACAACAAGGCCATGCTGGCCTTGTGTCCAGAGCAGCGCCTGGAGCACAGAACGAAGCACATTGCTCTCCGCTACTTTCTTGCTCGTGAGTTGCAGCAGCGTGGTCAGTTGCGACTTGCGTACGTGGCCTCTGAGGCCAACACTGCTGATGTTTTCACCAAGGCACTTCCGCCTTGTGATCATCAGCGCTTCTGCACTCAGCTGGGTCTTGTGCCTGTCTTGCCTCACTTGCTCACCACTTGACCTTGCTTGTACCCTTCCATATACATATATATACATGCTTTTGCTTGTTTAGTCCTATATATATATGTGTACTCCTGCATGTGAACTGGCCTTGTGGCCTTGACCTTGTGCTCGGACTGTGTGGTGACGTTGTGATCCACCCTGAGCTTTGTCTGCTTTGCTTGACTGGTCTTGTGACCCCTTGTTCTCCCCCACTTTGCCTATGGGGGTGTGTCAAATTATAATATTGTGTAGGCTATAGTGGGGTAGTCTATATGGGGTACACATTTCTAGGGTTGCATATTTGTATCACTTCCATTCCTTAGTCAATTCATTCTCGTTCTACTTTTCTCAAGTTGCGTGCGATTCCTCATCATGCTGATCGTGCACAAAATATCATGCTTCCATGGCACTTTTGTCGTCTTGCGTGTTCTAGCGACCACCTGCGAACATGAAAGGCAGCTCACGATAATAAAACTCATTCATTATCAACGTAGTTGCTGTCCATCCGTCATATAGAAATCACTTGCATGCAATTTCGCTTGTTTATCCATCGTTAGCTCGTTAAAGCCAACAGCTAAAATAGTGACCCCCCCCCCCCCCTTCTAGTTGGGTCCACTTGAAAACAGAAGTTTTTTTGGGACGTTTTGGAAAGTTGGAAGTGCTGTACGTTTTTATTTTTTCACTCCAGACAAGTCTCGATATGAACGGGGAACATTTGGAACCTGTTCACATTTCTGATTGGCGGCGAAACTCACACACAACTCACACACATACATGTGCGAATTTGGCGTAAGGTTGCAAGGCTTGTACTCACTCGAGCAGTCATCGTAACTTCACCAAAACTCACAACAATCAACAGCACAGGCACAACTCAGCGCACACACATATGCATGATCTGGGAGTGAATGTTGGCCGACGAATGGAAGAGCTGCGAGAAAAAGGGTTCCTTGGGCTTGAGGTTGAGAGAGGTAAAAAAATAGGGAGAGAGAGAGGGGAACAACGGGATGGGAGGGGAGACCGTGAAGAACTACGGAAGGGAGGGAGAGAGGAGGCGAACGACGGGATGGGAGGGGAAAGGAAGCGAACGACGGGATGGGAGGGGAAGGAAGCGAACGACGGGATGGGAGGGGAGAGGAGGCGAACGACAGGATGGGAGGGGAGAGGAGGCGAACGACGGGATGGGAGGGGAAAGGAAGCAAACGACGGGATGGGAGGGGAAAGGAAGCGAACGACGGGATGGGAGGGGAAAGGAAGCGAACGACGGGATGGGAGGGGAAAGGAGGCGAACGACGGGATGGGAGGGGAGAGGAGGCGAACGATGGGATGGGAGGGGAAAGGAAGCGAACGACGGGATGGGAGGGGAAAGGAAGCGAACGACGGGATGGGAGGGGAGAGGAGGCGAACGACGGGATGGGAGGGGAAAGGAAGCGAACGACGGGATGGGAGGGGAAAGGAAGCGAACGACGGGATGGGAGGGGAAAGGAGGCAAACGACGGGATGGGAGGGGAGAGGAGGCGAACGACGGGATGGGAGGGGAAAGGAAGCGAACGACGGGATGGGAGGGGAAAGGAAGCGAACGACGGGATGGGAGGGGAAAGGAGGCGAACGACGGGATGGGAGGGGAGAGGAGGCGAACGATGGGATGGGAGGGGAAAGGAAGCGAACGACGGGATGGGAGGGGAGAGGAGGCGAGCGACGGGATGGGAGGGGAGAGGAGGCGAACGACGGGATGGGAGGGGAAAAGAAGCGAACGACGGGATGGGAGGGGAGGACGTGAGCGATAGGAGATGAAGTGGACGGGATGGGAGGGGAGATTGCGCGAGGGCGATGGGAGAGAGAGCGCGAAGGCGATGGGAGAGAGAGCGCGAAGGCGACGGGAGAGAGAGCGCAAAGGCGACGGGAGAGAGAGCGCGGAGGCGACGGGAGAGAGAGCGCGGAGGCGACGGGAGAGAGAGCGCGGAGGCGACGGGAGAGAGAGCGCGTTAGGCGACGGGAGAGAGAGCGCAAAGGCGACAGGAGAGTGATAGGCGATGCGCGAGAGAGGAAGGCGACCGGGAAACGCAACGCGATGATTGCGCGAGGCTTGGAAACACAATGCGCTAATATAAGATGTATTACGCAGAAGCGCGAAGTTCATGACTACGCGCCTAGTCGGAAATTGTCGAGGTCCTAAGCTACTCAATGTTAGGTAGAAAGGTGGAATGATTAGTTCTCACTCTGCTATGTGAATAAACTAGTAACTAGAGGAAGTGGGTGATGAACCCACGACCAGCTTGAAATTGGAGTTGGGCCTTGTGAAGATAGTAGGTAGAGTTAGGAGCCATAGCTAGGTAAGTCCTAGCTAGGCAAGAGAAGTTTAGGCAAAAGAAGAGGGTTTTCACTAGCAGCAGTGAGGATACATATAGCAAACCCTAGATGGGTTGTACTCGCTATAGAGCACCCCACTACAGGCTAGAGAATAACATTCTGACACACCCCCATAGCCAAAGTGGGGTGTAATCAATACAATGAGCAAGCAGGTATAGAGCAGGAGTTCACAAAGGTAAGCAAAGCTTGAGCTAATCACAGCGGGCAAGTGAGGAGGAGGAGGAGCTGTGGAGGTAGAGAAGATGGGAGGCAACGACTGAAGCTGCAGAGGCACGGGCACAGGAGCGGATGACTCAGAGGCTAACGAAGCAAGGGCGACGGACTACTGGAGTAACTGGCTCGGCGGCTATAGAAGAGCGGCAGGAGCAACGGACCCACTGGCGATTGGTGCAGCAGGCTCACTGGCTACCGAAGCAAGGGCGACGGACTACAGGCGCTGAAGGCGACACGACAGGTACCTCCACACAACCTCCTCCAACTGCCCCACACCCTCGACACACACCCACTGCTCAAACCCTAGCTCCACTCCCACGCACCCCCCTAAAACCCTAAACCCCAGTCTCCCACTCATTCACCCCCCTCAGCGACAGCTGCAGCAGTGGGAGACAAAGGAGGAGGAGGAGAAGGGCACGGCGCGCACAACGGACACCCCCACAACCACCACCCCCACACTCCTCACCCCCAAACCCTAAAACGGGTGGGATAGGGGCAGGAGCGCGGGGGACGGAGAGGGGGGGGAAGGCACGCGCCTCTAGGGCGCCAGACTGGACGGGTGGGGCGAGGGAAGGGGCGTGGCGCGCGCTGCTCCCCAGGGCGCCGCGACGGACGGGCGGAGGGGACGCGCGCGCAGCTCCCCAGGGCGCCGCGACGGCCTGGCGGGGCGCGCGCGGCCTCCCGAGGGCGCCGCGACGAGCTGACGGGGCGCACGCAGCCTCCCCAGGACGTCGCGACGACCACGCAGGGCGCCCGCTGGCTCCCCAGTGCGTCGCGACCAACGGGCGGGGCGCTCGCGGGCTCCCGAGGGCGTCGCGACGGACGGACGGGGGGCTCGCGGGCTCCCCAGCGCGCCGCGACGGGCAGGGCGGGGGGCTGCGCGTGCTCCCCAGGGCTCCGCGACGGACGGGCGGGGCGCGCGCTGGCTCCCCCACAGCAGTAAACCGCCGTGCGCCTCGGGGCGCACGCCGGGCAGAAAACCGCCGCGCGCCCCGAGCGCGCGGCGGGATGAAAAATAAGAGGCCGCGCACCACGGGGCGCGCGACACAGCGTAGGGCAGCGGAAGCAGTAGGATGGCCCACAGGCCAGGAGCGTATGTGCTCTGATTCCGTGTGAAGATAGTAGGTAGAGTTAGGAGCCATAGCTAGGTAAGTCCTAGCTAGGCAAGAGAAGTTTAGGCAAAAGAAGAGGGTTTTCATTAGCAGCAATGAGGATACATATAGCAAACCCTAGATGGGTTGTACTCGCTATAGAGCACCCCACTACAGGCTAGAGAATAACATTCTGACAGGCCTGACGACGGAAAATCATCGCCAGGGAACGGTCGTGTGGATGCAGCACGCACGTATGCGACAACTGATATGAACCTCGAAGATCGTTTTGGCGGGAGCCAATTTTTTTCAGATTGGTGTGAGCCAATCAGATTACTTCAACCTGCCTAACCATTTTGTTTGAAGCAGTGTTGTATCAGCCGAACTCATCGCAGCGATTTCAAGGTGGGACGGCCTTCACTATTTTATATTTCGGTTTTAAGCATCGTCACCAGCTCAAAACCAATTACCACGAGTTGCAACAGTGAAGAAATGAGGAATGAAGAAAAGGAACGAAGTGGTTTCACTAGCAAGCAGTTGAGTACATATAGCAAACCCTAAATTGGGCTGTACTCACTATTGAGTACCCCACTGCAGGCTAGACAAACATAATATTCTGACACACCCCCATAGCCAAAGTGGGGTGTAATCAGCACAACAAGCAAGCAAAACACAAGCTCAGGGTGGATCACTATGTCACCACACAATCTGAGCACAAGTACAAGAAGCAATAGTTTAAAGTTCACAAATGTAAGCAAAGCTAGAGGCTATCACCGAGGGCAAGTGTGGAGGAGGAGGGACTATGAGAGGAGAGGAGGTAGTGGGCAGCAGCTGAAGCTGCTGGCACACGGTGCAACTGGAGCAACTGGCACACGGGCAACTGGAACAACTGGCACACTGGCAACTGGAGCAACTGGCACACGGGCTACTGGAGTAACTGGCTCTGCGGCTTACTCTGAGCGGCAGGAGCAACGGACTCACGGGCGACTGGAGCAACTAGCTCACGGGCGACTGGCGCAACGGGCTCACGGGCGACTGGCGCAACGGTCTCACGGGCGACTGGAGCTGCGGGCTTCACGGCGGCCACCCCCCTTCAACCTCCCCAAACTATCCCACCCCCCTTTCACACACCCCCTGCTGCACCCTAGGTTCACTAACACCCCACCCCCTAGCACCACTCCGTCGACTCCCACACACCCACCCCCCTCAGCGGCAGCTGCAGCAGTGGGAGACAGAGGAGGAGGAGGAGCAGGGGAGACCACACACCCGCCACCCCCTACTCGCCACCCCCAGACCCTAACACAGGGCAGGGCGGGACGGCGGGTAGGGAGGTTATGGGGGGGGAGGGGGCCGACGCGCGGCCTCCCAGGGCGCCAAAACAGGCGGCAGAAGGGCCTACGGGAAAAGAGGGGGGGGCGGTGCACCGGTCCCCGGTGAGCCGCGCCAAACGACGGAGCATGGCCGGGGCGGGGCCGGGGCAGGGTCGAGGCACGGCCGAAAGGGGCGGCGACGGGGCCGCAAGGGGCGGCGACGGGGCCGCTAAGGGCGGCGACGAGGCCGCAAGAGGGCGGCACCGGGGCCGCGAGAGGGCGGCGACGCGGCCGCGAGAGGGCGGCACTGGGGCCGCGAGAGGGCGGCACTGGGGCCGCGAGAGGGCGGCGACGAGGCCGCGAAGGGCGGCGACGGAGTCGCTAGGGGCGGCGACGGGGCCGCTGGAGGCGGCGACGGGGCCGATAGGGGCGGCGACGGGGCCGCGAAGGGCGGCGACGGGGCCGCTAGGGGCGGCGACGGGGCCGCGAAGAGGCCGCGAGGGGCCTCGAAGGGCGGCAACGGGGCCGCGAAGGGCGGGGACGGGGCCGCTAGGGGCGGCGACGGGGCCGCGAAGGGTGGCGACGGGGCCGCTAAGGGCGGCGACGGGGCCGCTAGGGGTGGCGCGAGGGGCCGTGAGAGGGGCCTCTAGAAGGGCGCGATGGGCCGCTAAGGGCAGGGGACGCGACGAGAGGGCGGCCCACGGGGCGCGCCTCGGGCAGGGGCGACTCGCGCTTCTGACAGAAAAAAAAAATTCAGTGGTGGGCCCAAGGAAGCGTTCCCACTAGGGAACCTGCTCTATACCATGTGAAGAAATGAGGAATGAAGAAAAGGAAGGAAGTGGTTTCACTAGCAAGCAGTTGAGTACATATAGCAAACCCTAAATTGGGCTGTACTCATTATTGAGTACCCCATTGCAAGCTAGACAAACATAACATTCTGACAGCAACCGCACCATACTGCAGCACCAAGAACCAGTACACCTACAAGGGAACAAGCAACCTCCACACACAACCCATTCCGAACCCCATCAACACGGCGATCGCAATCACCAACGGCACTCCCCTCAGCACGTTGTCGATATCATCAACTGCAATTACATTCAAGTCGTCTCCAACGCTCCTGACAACACATGTCTCAGAAGACCCAATCGTAATGAAGCACGTTGCCATTGCAAGCAAGGAAAGCAAGCTTTCTCAATTGCTCAATATGTATAACCGCCCTCTTTGAAACAGTGCATACTTGTCAGTTTGCCCCCAAAATTTTAGCACTCTTTCAAGCTGGTCATGGGGTCACTATTTTAGCTGATGGTTTTAAGTTTGGTATGAATAATGATTAGTTACTGACAATCCATGATGCATATATGTAATGATAAAGATGCGTGAAAGCTAACGACCCAAAAACTATGCTTCCGCATCCTTCGCCTAGCATGTCGAGGAGCTGATAACATAATCTTTGAACGATCAGCACTCACATGAAACAACACAACCTGTGAACTCCAAAAAAATGGTCAACTCTATCATCTCCAGTTCAAGTGGGCTCCCGACAGGCGCGCCAATGAACCTTTGGGTAAAAATGATAGAGTCGATTCACCTTTTTAAAACCCACAGACATGCATTGTTAATGAAATGATGGATGAATGAACACTCAGTGGCAAACCTGTTAACAGCATCACGTCTCATTGCCCTGGCCAAACCTGGAGGTGGCGCGCGGCCAATCGCGATCGGAGAATGTATGACTAGGCTGGCAGCCAAAGCAGCCCTTGCAGCCATAGGGGAAGCTGCCCGCGAACATTTTTTACCCCTTCAATATGGAGTGGCAGTGCCAGGAGGAGCAGAGGCGGTAATCCACGCAGCCAGGGCGTTTTTTTATGCCCGTCCCGACAGCCTGGTACTGCAAGCGGACATATCGAACGCCTTCAACAGTATCTCACGCCAAGCCATCGCAGCAGCATTACAAGAGCCCGGCCTACGGCCACTGCTGCCGATAGTTCGCCTGACCTACGGTAACCCGTCGTTGCTAAATCTCGACGCCAATTTCAGTAGCGAACCACTGAAGAGCGAACGCGGCGTTCGCGAGGGCGACCCACTCGGCCCGTTACTATTTGCAGCCGGGATACACCCCCCACTCCGCAAAACGGCCGAGTCATTTCCAGACGTTCTCTGCCTGGCGTATGCCGATGACGTCACCTTTCTGGGGGAGACACAACGGACTGTAGCGGCCTTCACGTTCTTTACCGACAAGTTGGCCCACATCGGCCTGGCACATAACCCAGATAAGTGTGCAGCCTGGAGTGCGTCAACGGTCGAGCCAGCGCAGCTTCCACACGGAGTGCCGTATTCGAGGGAAGGCGTACGGCTTCTTGGAAGCTATCTAGGGCCGGACTCAGGAGCAGCCAAATTCCTGTCAAGCCAGCTAGAAGAAATGGCGAAGCCATTACACCTCCTTGAACGAGCCGACCCTCAGGTAGCTGCCCTGCTACTCACCCGTTGCATCTCCAGG